TAATATTTTGTTCGTATAATGCCGTATCCTCCTCATAATATTTTGTTCGTATAATGCCGTATCCACCTCATATAATGTTTTGTTCGTATAATGCCGTATCCACCTCATATTTTGTTCGTATAATGCCGTATCCACCTTATATAATGTTTTGTTCGTATAATACCGTATCCACCTCATATTTTGTTCGTATAATGCCATATCCACCTCAAATAATATTTTGTTCGTATAATGCCGTATCCACCTCATATAATATTTTGTTCGTATAATGCCGTATCCACCTCATATAATATTTTGTTCGTATAATGCCGTATCCACCTCATATAATATTTTGTTCGTATAATGCCGTATCCACCTCATATAATATTTTGTTCGTATAATGTCATGTCCACCGCATATGTTTTGTTCGATGCCGTTTTCAGTCGTAGTGGTGTCCATGGCACATCATAATTACGTACCTACATCGTATATTGCCATTTGCACCCTATATAATGCCGTATCTACCCCGCATAATCCCGTAGTCCCTTCGTATATTGTCATCAACCTATTATAATGCCGTATCGACCTAATATAACGAGAAATGCACAGCGTATGATGTTAAATCAGCCACATATAATGTATTTTCCAACGCGTATAATGGTGTTGGCACCAAATATCAAACGAATGTGAGCACATAAGACAGTGAGCGTGCCATGCAGATCGGCCGCTCATATTGTATATATTACAAACAACACTCTCAAATTGAATGCAGTCAGTTTGATTCCTAATGAAATTTGTGCTTAAAATATGTACATTATTTTCAGCTGAATATCTCAGATGAGTTTTTCGAGAACATTAAAGCATTAAAGCACTTTCTCAGAATGAGAGAAATCAACACCTATGGGAAACCCATAGACAAAAATGCGTAAGTTGAATTAGTGTTATCTATTTTAAATAATAGAGGGCTTTCAGCAGAGTGAACGTACTTAATCCGTGCAACTGCACAAAATCGAAGTAATACTAATTTGTACTAAAAGTGGACCTGAAGCAAGACGGTATAGAATGCTTCATTTGTATCAATTCAGTTTAATTTGCGTACCGCATGCCCGATTTACTAAATACAACTAAAAGGCCCACAGGCAGCCCAAGCTAAGCATTTAGCTAGCAGATTATAGCGATATCTATAATGCATGTAAATAAGAAATTTGTGAAAGAAAAAATAAGTAACTGAAAAAAACAAACAAACTGATTTATCAGTGATATAAGTAAAGGAGGGGAGATATCAAAGAAAAACGGCAAATTACGCCTAAATTCATAACTAAGACCACATCATAAGGTAAGGCAAATGTTTTTTACTTATTTTTTCTTTCGTATTTACATGCATTATAGATATTGCTATAATCTGAAAGGCCATGTCACACTAGCGTTTTTTTGCAACTTGTGTCGCGCAAAAAAAGTTTTTTAAGTTGCACGATGCCATGTCACACTAGAAAATTTCGTTGCAACTTAGCTCGCGCAAGAAAATGTTGAAGTTGCACGCGTAAATTGAAAATGTACGATCACCTCACTTTCTGTCTCGTTTTCTTGTTCAAAATTATCGCTTTTGCCAAAGATGTCGTTGTGACAACAGTGACAACAGGACAACAGGGCAGATTCTTGCTTTCTTATGGGTTCGTGCGCCTAATTGAAAATTTTGGAAGTTGCAAGAGACACGCGTTTTTCCGAAAAATGTTGAAAAAAGTAGAAGCCAGTTCTACTTTTCTCTCAACAAAAAAATGAAATGTTCAAGTTGCACGAGGGGATGTCACACGTAAAAAAAACGCTCGTGCAACTTACAACATTTGTTTGCGCGACACAAGTTGCACGAAAAAAACGCCAGTGTGACACTGCCTTAAATAGAACTATTTAGTTTGTACAGTTGCACGGATTAAGTGCGATCACTCTAGAATGATCTATTTACATTCATTTAAATTTACGATGCAGTAATACTTTAAAACGTCGGGGCTCAACATATAGGGTCGGGGTAAAATTTTTGTTAAGGCAGATTATGGGGTAAAAGTCCCCTTGTAAATGCCATTGTAAGTGTAATAGTCCTTATTCATGCAATGATGGCTTTCACATTGAATGCAAATTAGCCACACGATTTTTCAGGGGGCAAACATTAAAAAAATTAAATAATATCGACACATTTACAATATAAAAATCATCATGAATAATACCTATTAACTCAGTTTATACGTCCATTCCTTATAAACGAAATAGAATTGTATTAATAATTTGGATCTTTTATTGCTTGCAGGTGGTCTGCTGGAGAATCTCCAGCCAAAGTAAATGGTTTTTACACCTTTAATGAAAATAAGATAAGTAAGTATATTATTGCAAATAATTAGCCAAAGAAAAACCTTATAATATGATTTCCTTCCAAGACCTGTTTTCGTCTTCGTTCAGATCGATTATCACTGCATGACTTCTTCAAGTTGTCCCAATATCTCAATAGACATACTGGCCATCTATAGCTATTTAATATAATAGAACGATTTCACATAACGATACAAAAAATGCAAATAGGTTTTTTTATGCAAATTTATTGACTGTAAAATGAATTCATGTAATCATGTAATACAGACTCTATTCTCTCGCTAATTGTAGCTTTTTTGCTACTTTACATTAGTATAAACATACTAATGGTCTATCACTCATACTGCGCTGTGATTGGCTACTCTACTAATGGTCTAATTTGTGATARACCACTCGCGGGAAAATCAAAATAAATAAATTATAAATTATAAATCATTTTAAGGATATTTCAATTTGTTTTCATTATTTGACCGATTAGTATGTTTATACTAAAACAATTAGACCTCTCGGCCTCGTGGACTACGAGCTAATAGCCCATTCGGTCTCGCGGACTCAGCCTCATGGGCTATTAGACCTTTTGTAATTAAGACATATGTCCTGTGTACCAAAATGTCCCACTTATGTCAGGGTATTGTTATGCATAAATACAAGTATGGTATAAGACAATGAAATATCAGCTTAAGTGCTGACTGTATATATCCGTGAAAAACCTATGTTGCTCAAGTGCGAACACTCGGGAAATGCTCGCAGAAATGTTGATTAGACGATAGAGAAGGCAGGATTTCGCACGAACGGTGTTCATAAGAAAGGACACAGGGATCCCAAGACTAAAATCAGTTGCTCACTCCAACAGGAAGTTCGACACATAAAATAAAATTCATTCATTTTTTTTTTATTTTCCTTCAATTTTTTTYCAGTTTTTCCAGTTATTCTGAGTCCGAGCTAATTTGTTGCCATTTTTTAACGGCTTTTTTGTGCGCATCAGCCGCTTCWTTCACACTGTGCATCATTACCGGCAGCATTTCTAAAATGTCGTCATGTTTCGACTTCTTTGTTTTCTTTTTTGCCAGTTGTTTCCTTCTTTTGTTCTTTGACGTGGTAGTATCTATAACAAGATAAGAAAAGTTGATATCAAGACTTCATTACTGTTTGGTGATAGTAATTTTGTATAGCAATTGAAATTTCTTCATCATTACGCGGTTTACCAATTTGAAAACCGCGGACCAATTAGTACCTAACTATATTTCATTATCTATATTTAACACAAAAGCAAATAGGCAGGTTAACAAAACATTTTGATGATTTAGTTAAAATGTCATCTGAACCAGCTGAGTCACTGAAATCACAGTCTTTTGCCAATTCTTTAAATGCAGCGTTGTCTAACCATTTTGCTGGTTTCTTTTTTCCAGTACTAGTGTGCTTATATAAATATAGCTCATCCAACTCAGTTTCGCTTGATTCACTCGTACTCTTATACACGTCCTCGGGATTTATTGTCTTTGGCCGCGAAGAAACTGAAGCGGGCTCATCTGAAAGTCCACTAGGCTTTTTAGATTCCCTTTTCTCCTTATCACTAACAATTAACAGAAAGGAAAAAAAATATCAGTTGAATAACATTAAAGTTATCA